TTTAAATATATTTTATCTCATTTTTAAACTTAATTCAACCTTTGTACGTGTTCCAGTGGCTGACAGTGAAAAAAGTGCTTGTACCAGTAGCTGACTGTCAGTTGTCCCAGTAGCTGACACTGGAACTATAAATGTACTAGCTGCTAAACCTAAGGGTTTTATAATTTATGAGACGAATAAAATCTAACTTAATACCTAATTAAATTATAAAATCATGTAAAACGTTATTAAGAAAATTTAATTTACATATTTTAAAATAAAAAAATATTTACATTAAAAATATATATATTATATATATTTAAAAAAAGTAAACATTTTTTTAAGATAATTTGGCTTATTAATAAAAAAAAATTAAAATCATTTTATAAAAATGTGAGATTACATAAATTATAAATAGCATGCAAATTTCGATGGGTAAAACCAATTTAATATTTTGCAAGTAGCAAATATCCCCTGTCAGCTAGTGGAACTTGTATGGCTTTTGTGTACCAAAGCCTGACATTGATATAATTTTGAATCCAGAACCCCTAACACCCCAATTTTATCATGAAATTGTCAACAAAGGTATAATTGATAAAAATAATGAGCCTAATCATTAATACCATTTAAGAAATTTTGCGAAATTACAAAAAACTAAACTTGCCTTCTTAACAATTTCATTAAGGGAATCGACTAAATGTGATGTGTACAGACAGGGTCGCTTTCAAACCACCACCATTCAGCGAGTATGGGCTAAATTTCACTCATTTTTTTGTTAACAAATCAAGAATAAACACATGTTCTTCTAACAATGCAATCATGTGTAAATATTTTTAAGAGACCACATTATAATGTAAAGAAACTCAAACTGTCAGCTTCTGGAGCACTGTCAGCTACTGGTGCATTTACCTTACTTAAAACTAAGCTATTAATATTTTACTAAAAACAAACTATATTACCCTCCCTGTAGCAGCAAACCTAGGTATTTGTAAAAATAGTGCTAAAGGTATTTAAAAATTACCTAGATTTAATTAAAAATCCAATCAGATACCGGTATGCCTAAATGGAAATTCGCTTAGTCTGTAGGTTTGCTGAGGCGGGGGTATTTTGATGGATTATTTTGATCCATTATTCTTATGGAAAAAGAAAGGTTTTCACCCTGATCCATCAACGGACCAACTTTGTTATACTATGGTGTTTTTTTGTACCATCTTACCTGTACTAATTGGGAAAATTATTGAATATCAGAGGTAATCAAAACAAAAACTCTTTATATGGAGGTTATATCGTCTGGATCTTATTTTTATTCGTTTTAGCATAAAAAATAACCCCAAAAACATGGGTCACATGCCTATATTTCGTCAAAATATAATTTTCAGTTTTTCAAACTGATATTTCCCCCCCACCCCCCCAAAAACACCCTTCCACCTAAAATATTTTTATGGACTCTTTAGATTCTTAATTCTTATGACAAAAGGAAAGTTTTCACCAAGTTTCATCAACGGACCAATTTTTTTGTTATTGGATGCGTTTTTGGTATTATTTTACCTGTACTACTACAGCACATTAGCTATTTTAGATTACTCTCAAGCATTCGACTCTATTGATCATGAATTATTATTGGCAAAAATGAAGTACTATGTTGCAGCGAAAAAGTTGTATGTTGGTTTCGGTTCTATTTGGAGTCCCGACTGCAGGTTACCAAAATTGGGAGTGGGACATCAGATCCGCTTTGCAAATTGCGAGGTGTTCCTCAAGGTAGTTGTTTAGGCCCTGTGCTGTTCAATTTATACACATTTGACTTGCCCAGAAGTGTAAAATATTGTACAGCACACTTGTATGCTGATGACTGTCAATTACACTTGTCATACAAGCCAGACATGACATCCGCAGCAATTGAACTCATCAATGCTGATTTGCACAGCATTTTTCAATGGTCTGGCATGAATGGCCTTGGATTGAACGTTTACAAGTGTGTTGTCATGCATACTGGACCACATATTCTAATGCAGGAGTTGAGAAAATCTTACATTAAAGTCACCCTTGATGGCATGGGATTGTCTGTCTGTGACACTGTCAACACGCTTTGGTGTTGTACTTGACAAAGACCTCTCTTTTTCTGACCACGTCACATCTGCAGTCCAACGCGCAGTGGGAAGATTGAGAGGTCTTAGCAGATTCAAAACTCTCCTGCCAGAATTTGCCAAAACGCAACTCATGCGGTCCTTGGTCCTTCCAGCCTTCACATATTGCTTTCCTGCATATGGAAAAAGCATCTCTAAGGAGGATATGGCAAGAGTTCAGAGAATTCAAAATTCTGCCATTAGGTTCATTTTTGGCCTTAGTCGCTTTGAACACGTGTCCTCCTACAGAGATGCTGCTAAGCTCATCCCAATGGATGACATGTGCAGAAAGCTGACCTGCTGCCTGGTCCACAAAGTGCTCACGCTGGGAGAGCCTCATTACCTCAGCGAGAGGCTGAAGTACAGGAGGGAGATCTGTCTGCGTAGTACTCGCTCCGACCGCAAGCTTCAATTTCCTAAAGTGAGGCTTGAGGCTGGAAGAAAGTCTTTTTCTTATTTCGGCCCGCGGTTGTACAATGGCCTCCCTCAAGAGATCAAGTGTTCAAAATCGTACAACACATTCAGGGCCGCAATGAAAAAAAACAAATGTAAAATATATATTGTAATTATTCTGTTGTAATTTGTTTGTATATACTTATGTAAATATATTGGGATAGTTTAGATTTAGTGACTTGAGTTAGTTTGAAAACCATGTATTATGAAACTCGCTCGTAAATAAAGGCCTTTTTACTATTATTATTATTATTTATTAATTTTAATTTTTTTCATTTATAGGATTTTGTTTCTTTACTTGCATCGTATTGATTATATTCGTTGGATCTTTCTTGTAGCTGCAGTATATATGATATTCTTCTTTTGTATCTAATTTATTTCCTTTTGATCCGTAGTCCAAAACTGTCATATCTGTTTCAATTTTAGTGAATTTATGATTCTCATTAAGCATGTGCTCTGCTACATTACTTTTCATACTAGTTAGATTCTTTGATTTAAACGCTTGAACATGTTCTTTATATCTGCAGTTAAATGAGCTTCCTGTCTGTCCAATGTAGTACTTTTCGCAATCTGAACTTTTAATTTTGTAGATACCAGAGTTCTCATATTTTGATGTTACAGCTTGGTTGTTATCTTTTTTGGCTCTTTTATTAATTACTTCTAATGCGTTGTTTTTGGTTCGGTAACTTACTTTTAGTTTAGAATTTTTGAATGTTTTCCTGATTTCCCAAATTGAATTTACACAATGATTGATTGATATTGATATTGATGTATGGAACACAAATAAAACCATTCTTTTGTTTTTCTGTTACAATTTTGTTCTTTTTTTCATTTGTTTTTTCTTAATCATGTTTTCTATCATTCTAGGGTTGTATCCATTTTTAAATGCCAAGTATTTAATTAGATTCTTTTCTTTTATGAAACAAGATTTGTTCATTGGGATATTGATCAATCTATTTGTTAATGCGTGGAATGTAGACACCTTTTGTTCCCACGGGTGGTTTGAGTCTGCTGGTATTATGCAGTCACTTGTAGTTGGTTTTCTATAAATTTCAAAGTTATAAGATCTATTTTCCTTTGAAATTGTCACGTCTAGGAAATTTATTTTGTTCTCTTGTAATCTATTTCTATAATTAAATTAATAATATTTTTTTCAGCACCATAACCGATAATATTTTACACAAAATATGTTAATTCAACCAAATCTAATTTTTTAAAGCATTTAATAGGCTAAATATCGGCAGGTAATAAAGTAACCATTTATTGCAATTTAAGAGAAAGACTTATCGTTGTGTTAATATAGTGTAGATGTTATTGTGTTTATTTCGACTTGTAGAATATTGAACTACATAAAACAAAATCGTTACAAGTCAAAATTATATTATTGGGCCAAACTAACAAAACATCCCATTAGCTACATCAACATCTGTTTAAATCAAACTTACCTGTCCAAAAAAACAATTACGACAAAAACTGTAAACCATGCCTATGCATTTACTCTACTAGTTCAGGGCAAAGGAATTCAAGAACTTTGTAGAATGCATTACACAGCAAAACATATTTAGGTTTTTCTTATATATAGATATTTAATTTCCTTTATTGTTTAGTTTTAAAACTAATCCGATTAATAATGTGGAAAACATTTAAGATTTATGTAAATTACTTGCTAAAGAATACCACAGGAAGCCAGGTTGTGCATAAGTTGTGGTTGTTTCCTAGAGTAGGCGGTGAGAATTCACAGGTGTTGGAGTACTACGATGTGGAGACAGACTGGGATTTGCACACGTATAACTTACAAGCCTACTTCCATTGTAACTTTTTTGCTTATACTACATTTTTATTTATATTTAAGTCAGAAAATTTTAGTTTGTAAAGAGAAAAAGAGTAAATAAACGTTTAAACAGATTTTTTTTCAAAACTTAAAAAAAACATTCATTTTTTGTGATTATTTCAGATAGCCTAAATGTTATTCTTGACCTAATAACTTAGTATAATAATTGTATGATGGTGATGTTTGAAAATGAATCAAATACTTCCCAGAAAGGCTACTTTGGTAACTATAAGAGTACGTTAGGTTTTGCTAAAAAACTGACAAACTTGAATTGAATATGGACTATTATGACGTTTGATATCAGAAAAAGAAAATCATGTTTTTCATGCACAATCAACGTAGATCTAAAAAAACTATTTATACTCAAAAAAAGAAAAATAACTCTTTTTAGAAAACACATAAACAACAGTAAACAAAATGTATGACTTAAATGAAAAATGAAACAACTACAAGTTAATGTGAATAAAATAAATTAAACAAACCCTTACCAAGGTTTATGTGTCTTAAAACCTCATTAGCACATAATTACATAAGAAATTCTAGAAATATAATAGTGTAAGAAAAAGTCATGTTATGACTACTTAAGTTGAGGGATGGTAATAAGGAAAACTCTATTCAAAGACACTGAGTTTTGTATATTTGATTTAATAAATTAAAACAAACCTTGATCATGTCAACATCATGTAAATAACAAATATATTTTAACCTAATGTAATTAATACAATTTCATGTTAGTTTTTCCGTAAATATTTTGGGAAATGTAATTAAAAATTGCTTCGAAGATACCATACTTTTGCTGCTGCTCTAGATGAAATTAAATGCGTATAAATATATATAGGCTAAAGTTTTCCATATATAAAATTTTAAAACAGGGTCACCTCATTTCTATTTTCAATTAACAAGTTATTTAAAGATGCTTTATTTGAAAAAGTCATATTATATTGCATGCTATGATAAGCCCCTAGCCCAATAACTTAGGTTAATATATAAGGTTAGCCAAACATGTTGTTTAAACCCATCCACATTCCTTCGATTGTTTTTCCAACGTTATTAAGTGGATCGGCTATTTCACGTTCTTCCAGTGAATCGTAAAATTCGTCAAGGTCTTCGTCATTAAATTCAAAAAAATGTACGTTTTTTAGATCGTCTTCGTTAAAAGGCTTGTTTTTGGTTGAAACTAGGGGTACAAAATCAGGAGAAGGTGCGGATGCTACTACAACAGCTAGCGCCAAAACCTGCAACAAAATGTTGTTGATGTAGCTGTGAATTGTTTTGTTTAAACATTTAACTGTAAAATCTGTTGGGTTTTCGTACTGTTTTTAAACTGTAAATGCGAATTTTCTTATCTGGGGATTTACAGTACGATCTTATTTCTTTACAAACTATTCATAATTTTATTTTTTAGTAATGATAAAGAAAATCCATTAAAAACAAACATGTTTAATCAGTTTGCTTAAATATTCCATATACACAATCATTACAAAAATCCATACACATTTTGTTCAAACACTTTCCTAAACTTTAAGACAGCCCTTTGTATTCTTGTGGTCACTAAGACAATGAACGCATCAAGTGTATTGACAATTATTTTTCATGGACATTTTATTTAAAAAGATTAACATTATTGAAGAATTCAGCCAGGAATAGATGGCAAAACTTAATTATCACTGTTACGTAAATTTCAACTACACTTTTGATTCTTTGAATTCATAACAACTTTTAGTACAATCTATTTAAATAATTTTGTCGCAATTGTAATTGTGATACACGGATCAAGTAAACAAATTTCCTTGTACAGTACATAAATCTCATTTCAAATAATCTGATCTGGGATAAATTTAACAAACACTCTCAAATTAAATATCTGTAATATGTATTATTTTAGGATAAAATACAGCACCCAAGGATACAAAATATAGTATCAATAAGTTACTAGCCAAATAAAAAATTCTGATAACAAACAATAAACAAAATGATGAAAATAATTATAAAGATTCAGTTTTTGTATAATATTTTTTATTTGCTTTGTAATGTTATTACTTTAGAATATTCTCAAAGTTGTACCTGACTAATGAAATTATATCCAACAACAATGAGAAACAAGAATAATAATTGACTGTTTTATTTATCATAGAAAGTGTTTCAGGAAATAAACAGGGTATAATGTATAACGGTCAAAACTTTAAAAAGATTATGACCTTACAAGTAAATAGTGTCAAATAGCAGCATAGGGGTTTTTAGCAACACCCAGTTGCTAACTCATGTGCATCGAGATAAGTTTTAAATGTTTTATCAGAATGCTAAGTGAACAAATACTGTACCTCAAAAATTTGGTTAGGCTTAACCTACCTTTAAATTTGAAAAAAATACGGAAACTACCCCCACTCTCCAAAAAATACCCTTTTAATGTGTTTGGGATATTTCAAAATAATTTAAAAGGGGGGTTCACGTTGTTATCTACATCGATTGGTTTGGCCGCTACACATTGTTTACGGGTATTCTGCTTCACACTGTGTAAGATAAATTAGTAGGATGAATATTTTATTTAACTATTCATATAAGTGTGTTTGACCCTGTTAAGCTTATCAGATATTCCATATCATAAATAAATTTAAATAAAACTCACAAATGATAGTTTAAGTGAAACCAAGGGAGTTTTAACACTCACGTAACTAATTCAAAATTCGGAATAAAAATGTATGCACTCACCAAAACCCAGTACATGGTTGCTGCCATTTTACTGATACGTTTAACTGATGAAATCTCTGTTAAGTAGTTGCAATAATATCTGTTACATTTGTTATCGCACACTTTTCAATATTCTTGGTAGCCGTATGACGACCAACAAACAGCAATTATCGTAAAAGTCCAAATTACATCTTTACACTTTATAACCATTAACGTGTAGTAATTGCCTATATTTCTTCATTGACGCCTACTGTGCAATGTTGTTTTGCCTTATTACTTTACTTGACCACACGTTCCCCTCTTTAAGCTATTAAGCCATTATAAATATCTGCCATTTTCTTTTTTTTACAATTTCTCAAGTAAAGACTTACTTACTAAAGTAAGTAAGTAAGTGCTTAGTAAGTAGTAAGTACTAACACCCACAAGTACTCCTTGGTACTTGTGGGTGTTCGCCTCCGCTGTCGTTAAGAAAGGGGGCTCGTCCGGATTTATTTCTTCATCTTTAGTCATCAATAGCCTCAAAGAAATCTTTTATTTTGTAGTAGGGTCTTGTTGAGAAGAAGTCTTTAAGTTTATTTTTAAAGCCGTTTGTATTTTGAATATTTTTTAGTTGATCTGGGAGGTGGTTGACAAATTTTAGTGCTATGTAGTTTGGATGGTTTAGAGATTTTTTAAGTCTATTGTATGGTAAGTCAAATTGTTGTTTTCTTCTTGTGTTGTGGTATGTATGTCTTCTCTTCTATTGTTGTTTGATGTTAGTTAATGGATGATGGTTTCGTAGATATAGATGGATATGACTGTTAAAGTTTTATTGTTAATAAAGTATGGTTTACAGTGTTCTTCATCTTGCAGATCATTAATTGCTCTTATAGACTTCTTCTGGACAGTTAGTATTTGGTCTAGGTAGATTTGCGGTGCCGCTCCCCAGACTATAATACCAAATCTTATGTGAGAAGAAAGTAGAGCCTGGTAAACCACAAGTGCGGTAATTTTTCCAGATATTATTTTTATTCTCTTAAGTCCATAAAATGCTGAGGATAATTTATTTGTTAAATTTTCTACATGGGTTTTCCAGATGAGGTTTTTATCAATTATTAGTCCTAGGAATTTGGTTTCTGATACTATTTCAATATTAGTGTTAGATTTTTGGTTTGTTGTGTTTCTTGATGTTAAGTTTACTATTGCGCTTTTTGTCTGGTTTATAGTGAGATTGAGAAAGAGAATGAAAGTAATACTAACAAATTATCCTACTATAAATCTGAAAGTTTGTGAGTTTGTGTGTGTTTTGCTCAATCGCGCATAAACTACTGGACGGATTGGGCTGAAATTTGGCATGATGATAGCTCACATTCCCGATTAACATTAAAGCATATTCTTATCTCAAAAATCCTTTCGGGCTCCGCCCCAGAGGCTCTGTAGTTCCCCATCTTAACCTTATGATTTTTCATATTTAAAAGGAATTAATGAATCTAAACAGCTGTTTCAATTAAACAAGTTGGTTCTGTTCTATGATGTTCAATAGCATAAAAATTACAAGGACTACCAACAGGGTGCAGTACTATTATATTTTTTTTATTTATGACAACAGCTAACTTCCAACCAAAAGGTGAGTGAGCGTAGCGAACGAACTTCAACCTGGAGGTGAGTTAGCGTAGCGAACGAGCTAACCTGAAGGCAAGTGAGCGCAGCGAACGAGCTCCAACCTAACGGTGAGTGAGCGTAGCGAACGAACTTCAACCAGGACGTGAATGAGCCATGCGAATACTTATGAAGTTAAACGGGGCAAAGCCCGCGGGTACAGCTAGTTGTGTTATAAACATAATTGCTGTTGGTTTGTAAACTTGTCATTATGCTTTAACACGTCCAAGAACATTGTACCTAAAGTGACACACCATTTAGGTAGACATTTATTTTTACGAGAAGACATACAAACTTTGAAACGGAAATTCAAAACATAAACTATTAAATAGCAAACTGCATGCCTACCAGAAGATAAGATAGTTTCTGTATCGCTTTTAATTGATCTTCAATCGGCTCTATGTGGTCGATGTCTACTGGTGAGAGCCAGGTCGAGGAGAAATTTACACTATTTACAAACCAGACGTTTAGCCAATTCATTAATATTGCTTATTCAGTGGCAGAGCTGAGACTTGCCAGACTAGTAGTTTGAACCATCTTTGTGTATCAAAGGATGTTTAAGTACCACCTTCAATTGAATAAGCAGGTCAATATAGGGTATATTAACTCCAGAAGATCCATAACTTGGTGGAGTTGTAATGGCGGATGGTACATGTGATCCTAACTGTGGTTTGTGCTTTAAACTAGTAAAAAAGAATAGTAATGCGTTATTTTGTGATGGTTTTTGTTCTAGATGGTATCACATTGCCTGTGTGAATGTTAATAAAGATGAATATGACCTCTTTAATACTTTAGGGGAAAAGTCGAAGTGGTTCTGTCAATCTTGTGACACTAACCTCAAAAGGTTGCAGACAAGAGTTGGAAATATAGAAGAATTGATCAATTTAAATTCAACAGTACAAAATCTAATATCTCTAGTGAAAGGTGTGGTTAGTGATAACCTTGAACTTAATAACAAACTTGATGGTATTGTAAAAACTCAAAAACAGGGTTCTGCTGAAACCTGTTCTGGGCCTAGGCCTATGCTTAGTCAAGAATCAAATTTGTTGATTAAATCGAATGAGAATAACAACTGTTCTAAAGACAATGGGGATGAGGAAGTAGAGCAATCTACCGGTAATAACGGTAACATTCACAGTCGTAACCCTTTGAAATCAGACAGTGCAGGCTTTGGCTTTGCTTATCCCAACAGCCGGCGCAAAAATAATAAGGTAGGCTTAGGTGGTGAACAGCCTAGCCTCAGGAAAAATTTAGCAGATGCTGTAAAGAATCCTTCAGGGAAAAAGAAGACATCAGAAGGCAATAGGCCCTTGATTGGTACAAAGAGTAAAGGTGACTCATCGGAAGATGAAGGCCTAAAAATTGTTGAGAAAAAAGTGTGGTTATTTATCTCAAGAGTTCAACCCGATGTCACTAAAGAATCCTTTGAGAATTTTGTAAAGAAAGGCGGTGTCGATAACCTTGAGTGTGAAAAACTAGAAACTAAATACCCTACATATGCTTCATTCAAGGTAGGTGTGTCACTTGGAGATTTTGATACAGTGTGGAAGGCTGAATTTTGGCCTGAAGGGACACTGATAAGGAAATACGTCCCTAAAAGAGGTCTCACTGTACACAGTAGGACTTTTTTAGGGAAACAGAGCCCTCAGTCCTAGATAATAACAACTTTTTATCTGAAGGGCCTAATGTACCAGTGAATAGCCTACATAACCTCAAACTCTGTGGAATTAATATTCAGTGCTTAAGAAACAAAACACTTGAACTAGAGATTCTTTGCTCTGAAAATAACATTGATATCATGTGTATATGTGAGCATCAGCTCACAAGTAGTGAGATTGATTCTTTCAGTTTTTTGGGTAATATGGAGCTTGCTGCTTACTTCTGTAGACAATCTTGTAGTGGCGGCTCCGCAGTGTACATAGACCATAGGCTTAAGCCTTTCTGTAAACCACTTGATCTCGGTGAGTACTGTGAGGACTTTCATGCTGAGTTTTCAGGTGTGTTGTTTCAAGGCCTTTCCCTAATTGTGTTGGCCATGTACAGATCACCAAATGGTGATGTGGGTAGGTTTTTTGAACTACTTGATAAGTGTCTAACCTATATATTGACTTTAGGCATGTTTGTTTTGATTGGTACTGACCACAACATAGACCTGCTCAGTTCTAAGAATAAATCACCCGAGTTCCTAAATATTTTGAGAACTTTTAACTGCTACAGTTCAGTGATTTTGCCTACCAGAGGTAAAGCATCTTTAGACTCTTTTATTACTAACCTCAATAAGTGGGACTATGAGGTTGTGGTCAGTGATGATCAGATTGCTGATCACAAGCATATTTTTCTTACTGCTTTTCTGAATAGACAGTCTAACCATGAATTAGATATAGGCCTAGTTCCTAAAAGTGTTTCCTACCGAGAAATCAATGAGTATGCAATTGAACTTTTTTCTCTTTATCTTACTACGCATGTTGGGTCTTGGTTTGATGTAGTAAAGACTCTAACAGCAAATGATGCTTTTTCTCTTTTTTTTGAGAAATTTCAAGAAGCTTTTGAATTATATTTCCAAAAAAAGGTCAAGAACATAAAACCTAAGAAACCTCATAATAAACCATTGAGTAACTCCCCCAAAGTAAAGAACTGGTTTACTCCGGAGCTTGCTAGGCTAAGAGGTTTCATTGTCCTTGTTAGCGACCTCGCTGCTACCGAACTTCATCTATTACCTGTGTTGCGTAATCTGAGGAGAGACTACCGCAAAAAACTAAAGGAAGCTAAGATAAATGCGAGTGCTCTGTTTATCTCCGAAGCATCTAACCCTTGCAAAGCTGCCTGGAGCCTGATCAACAGGAACAGGTCAAGACGTCCATCTGCTGATTCCAGCTTTGCTACAGCAGATGATTTCAATCAATACTTTGTAGACTCGGTGGATTCCATTCTGGAAAATGTACCTAGATCCAACCTTAACCTGTGTGACATTGCAAATGATATTCCAGCTGTAGCTACTCACTTTGAGTGGAATCATGTAAATTCACTTGATATTGTTAATACTGTTCATAGTTTTAAAGCATCTGACAGTAAAGATATTTACGACTTGACCCCCAATTTGTTAAAACGGGTTATACATGTAATTGCCCCAATTTTGACGTATCTATTAAATGCATGTTTTTTGGAGGGAGTTTTTCCTCAGGTACTTAAAATGTCAAGGACCGTGCCCATTTACAAAAAAGGACTTTTGAATGAGGTAGCTAGTTATAGGCCAATATCCTTGATTCCTGTACTAGCCAAAGTTTTTGAATCTATTATGTTCAGTCAGCTCTATAATTATTTTGAGCAGCAACACCTTCTAGTACCGGCCCAATTTGGTTTTCGCAGAGCGAAATCAACCTCAATGGCTGTCGAAGAGTTTGTTCAAGTAATTATCAATGCTTTTGAAA